TCGAAAATATTTTTTTTCTCTTTTCGACGTCCAACCGGTTGCCATCAATCGATTTTTGGAAAGAATAGAAAAAATATTGGGGTTGGTTGGGTGAAGGGTGACTCCCTAGGGTTTTGGACTAGTGCCACTAATCTTTAGGTTCGATCCACCTCTGGCTGAGATTGTATCGTACCTGACGAATGCTACCCTTATTTTCTTGGGGTTGAAACAACAGTCTTCCGATATAGGCTGGTGCCATGAAACAACCCCCGGACAATAAAGGGTCTAACGAGCGGAAGGGATTAGAAAAATAAAAGAGTGAATTTATTTAATACAGCCGGGACAGGGTCTATATGGCTTTTATACGTCTTGCATAAAATTCCCTAGAATTACCTAGGGTTGTATCACAATGAAAATTCTCGGTAAATGTATGTAATAGGAGCACTATGTACCGGGTGGCGCATCGGTACCCCTTAATGAAAGTCATGCCGCGTCCCGTTTGCGATTTACGTGCCCATAGGGGATGATAGGACACGACAATGCTAGAGTGCAGTGGCCGCTGGCGTCGGTGGCATCGGGTTCCAGGGGCGTCTTGTCGGTTTAGGTGGTGCACGGGTTGCCCGATCGATATACGGGGGTGTCGTCCGCGATCGGGCGTGCTGCCACCTCGCAGCTGGTCTGAGAAACCGGGCCAATGATCAACCAACTACTAATACAGAAAAGCCGAAGCTCGGGACGTCAGTTTGCGCACCAAGTCCGACGCCGAACGGCTGGGCGTCAAGACGATCGTACGACGCGAGTTCTTGTGCACCCGGCATAAGACTTGATTGCCGGCCGGTGCGTTGTCACACTCCGTCCGACCCCCGTACGATTCCCTTAACATTTTTGTTATTATTATCATTCTCCCTTTATCTCTGTTTATTGACTGCGTTGTTTTGACACATTTTTACCTATCTTCAACGCGAGTTTTTGACCCAGTGAAACTCTCACGCGTCCAAGAATGTGCTTGAGAGTGCGCCTGAACGCGTGCATCGCGAAACAGTGAAAATACGCGGCGCAGTCGTTGACTAAATGTTTTCAACTGAATTTATTCGTTTACAAGGAAAATTCTTTTACACGAAGGAAACTTGTGGTTTGTGTGATTTTTAACATCATCGAAAAATTTACTATCCGTTCAGAAAGGTCAGTCGTATGGCAAAAATGTCAGATGGCTCATTTGAATCGCGTGAACCAAGCTAACCTCTATTAATTAGACCGGAATGTAACTCTACTGAAATACGTGGTTTAATAAGAAAAATTATTCTTTCGTAAAGAACGAGTGACGCTATTACCCTGGAGTAGACTAATATCTAGATATCTTTTGTTATTTTTTTTTTTTTAATAAAACCGAGACATTCCTTAATCGAATCTTAATTTCGTCGAGCCTCGTGTTCGATAGCCTGATTTCAATCGTCTAACATCAACCTCAGTTGTATATCGGTGGGGATAGGAGGATTAATTAATTATCCAATAAGCAGTATAGCGTGTCCAATTTTATAGAAAGTCACAAGATGATACTAAAATGAATCAAGATAGATTTGTCATTTGATTTAAATCATATGTGTGTATTTATATATATCATATAATTTACCATTCTCATGCCACCCAAAATACAGCTTGGAAAATGGCAAATTGAATATAAAATAATGTCAGTAGGTACGTAATTTTTCTTCGCTCTATAAGTATCGTCCCATAAGCATCCTATGGACATTAAATGTCTGGCAAATTTCTCGCCAACTAAACGGTGTATAGCTGTTCTGTTGTTCTTTTCTCTCGCATTTATCTCATGTCAGACCTCCTTTTCATTCCTGAGAAATGATACTATTAACAAAACAAACGCCCCTCCTCCTCACGGTTTAATACAATCGCTAGGTTAGTGGGGTTGTGCACGTGATTTTGCATGTTCACCATTATTATCAATCTGTGAGATGCATCGTCAATTCTCCCTTCACGATTTCCGATAGAATAGATTTGAAGTGCACGAAAGTCTCGAGAAGTCTGAAAAAATATAAATTATATTACGCGAGGGTTGGTTCTATATGGGAGGTCACTGAAGGGGACGAGAAAGAGGATTGTTGATTCAATCAACTGGCAGGCACAGAGGAGTGCGCATGCGCGGCGCATTCCTTGGTATACGAACCTATATGTATACAGACATACCCCCATGGATACCGACAGTGGCACAGTCGCGATTTGTCCGTAAAGCCAGACGGTAAGGAGGGTATATAAAACTCAAAGTGCGTTTTGTTTTCTTAGTTTTCTTTAGTTTAACTGTTTTTCTTCTTTTTGTGAAACTGAAGATTAAATGTTCGAAATGGCGGTTGGCAAAATCTCATGCACGTTCGGCCACGTAATTAAATTCCCCCGTGAACCTAAATAACCGCGTGTCACGTAAATTAAAAAAGCGTCATGAATTCTCGTTACAGTTTTAGCCTGGAGTGAATACTGACGATTACTCGAAACATTTTTGAAATCTTAAGTCCCGCCATTATAAGCAAACGGCGTATTACGTCGCGTCCACAAACCGCAGGCCACGTGAAGCCATGTTCGTGCATTCGGTAGCGAAATGTGCGTTGGCGGAATTGCATAGCTGAAAGTGGCACCTCGTCGTGTTTGGATGGCTTGCAAACGAAAACGTAAAAAGTTGACGCATGTATACAAAACGTACGGAACAAAGAGTATAACCCGTGAAGTATGTCGTAACAACGGTGATGGCAGTCGTGTAGACACTGCGAAAAATCAAAGTGAAATAAAATACGGTTGAAGTTTCGTGCCGATAGTCGCAATGCGGTAGTGAGTTAGTTGGTGAAATCTAAAAAGAGAGTGAGTGAGAGAGAGAGTAAGAGAGTGTGTGTGTGTGTGTGAGAGAGTGCGTGTGAAACGAAGAAAAAAAAAGAAGCCGGATAGAATCGCCGTGGAAGGCGTTTCCGGTTCCCGGCGATGATCGGATACAACCAGCAGAATTCCGGCTACAACAAGCTATTTACTCAGGTATTAAATGTACAAGAAGGCAACTGAATTCAAACCTAGTATCGTTCAATATCTTTCATGTGCAGGCTTCTGCTACTGTTCTTCTTGTACGCCATGTTATTTTTATTCCTGTTTTCCTCCCGGCTGCATGCTTGGCTTAATAACAAACGTGACGTGTAAAGCTAAACCAGAACGCTCGAACGAATTCCTTTGTCTATGGCGAACGCAATAAAACCATAGGTGTGTTCTTTCTGTGGGTCACTTGGATATCGGGGACCCCGGTTATTTCAGCATACCTACAGATACCTCCATATTTTATGTGCGCGGAGCGCATCTGCATCGATGCAGCGAGGGTTGCAGGGTACAAAACGCATCCTAAATTTCACCCTTGGGATTGAAAGCTTTCATCAGTCGAAAGAGAAAGACACAATCCAAACTTGAGATGCTGCCGTGGCTAAGAGACGAGGTAGGGAACTCCACATTGGGAAAAGGTCGTCGCCATGGATACATACCCACAGGAGGGTATATTCCACCCTTCGCACGAAATCCCGCTAAGAGAGACTCTTCCAATTTCTCATCTCGCATTAAACCTTAAACCTCCATATCGACGGAAAAGAATCCTAGGGAACGTCGTACCCTGGACTCTGTTTGGTTATGAGTTCGCGAGTGCCTCTTTCTCTACTGAAAGTGTCTGTTTCAGGTGTCAGGAGACGAGGAGTACTCGCGAAGACAATTAAAACGTGTCCGGCAGCCACGATGACTAATTAGAACTGGACAAGGGCATTAATTAACTTTATGAATTTGTTACGAGATACTTTTTTTTTTTGAGTAGGTGCACTTTTTTTGTTTAATTTTTCTAATTAACCTCTGAATTTTTCCCCCAAAAAATTCCTTTCACTCACGTTGTAGCTCATATTTACTCTAAACTTTGACTCGTCGCGTATTGCATGAAAATACATTTACATTATAGCCTTGAGTATGTTTTTCTCCGTCGATCGTTTCTTATTTATATCTGTCGATCGTCGCTCAAAAATAAACGTTAAACCCATGGACTGTTCCATTGCGCGCGCACGCCCACGTGGCCTAACTAAATAAATAATGATTTCTGGCCTGGACTTGCCTGTTACATACTCAACAACTCCAGTTACTACCGTCACACGACTACACCACTAATAAATCGACTGGGTCTTGCTTATTGATTGATCGACAGCTCTTTCTAGTTTCTTTACGCTACCGCCCGGACAGTTCTAAATCGTTAGCATCACGTATAGCACGTACATATATATCGTCTTCCTGAATGCGGTTAACGTTGCCGTACCTTAGGATCTATACAAACGCTTCAATCGTTTTATCACGTTGCTATAGTCTTTTCTAACATTGTTACTTTATTAATAGTGATACCGGGTAGTGACTATAAGCAAAGCGGGACGCTAACTCGTAACCAAGCATACGAGAAAATGGGAGCGAAATTACATCGTGCCAAACGTACCTTTACCTTCGTAGGTGAACGCATGCGAAACTCCAAACGAATGTTGAGTGAAACGTTGTGTGGACGCACCCTGTGATGTCCTTTGGGCCAGTAGCACCTATTTTCGGGTGCGGGAAGTTAGCTCCCCATATTTGGAAATTTTTCGATGTTTTCCTGTCGTTCAAAGTTTTTTTTTTCTACGATGTTTCAGAAAAATAATTTTTTTTTTTTAATGTTGGGTTGGCAACTAAGTGATTGCGAATTTTAATTAGCAAGGCTATCGGCAAAATCTGCTGTCACTTAGATGCCAAACCCAATAATTGCGAAAATATTTACGCAATAAGCTGTCATTGGCGAGCGACAAGTCAATTACCTACGTCGTCCATTTGCAATATTATTTAATCATGATGACATTTAATGCGAAGCGTTTAACGGCACAGTTATTGAATTTGTTTCTTCGATATTTTTTGAATTTTTTAGACTAGTTTGTTTTTTCTTGAATTTTTTTAAAAAAATTATCCTTGCCTTTGTTTCATACTTTCAGGGCTCGGCGGACTCGAATTACTCGCAGCCGAGCTCGGATCTCTCGCTGGACGAGGAGAAGGAAAGTTTGCGTCGCGAAAAGGAGAGACAGGCCCTTAATCAACTTGAAAAAGCTAGGGTGAGTCAATTTTTTTTTATTATTAAATTTGTCACAGCATATAACTTCGATATTGAAAAGTTCATTTCTCATGTAAGATCATGCTGCTTCTAATGGGTATCGTGTGATACCCATTAGTCGTTTGTCATTGGAATAATATATCCACCCTTAGGAATAAAAACAAGGGATATTTTTTTTACTTCGAAGAGTCAATGAGAACGCGGATATCGACCAACGTCACGTTTAAGACTATTTTCTTTCGTCCTATTTAACGTGACTATGAATTCGCCTTTATTCGTTATTCGAAATCCCTATATTTCCTTTCTATTTTTCATTCTACGTCTATGTCTATTTATATCATAGAATCCCCATCGCCTCACTTTCGTCGCGCGACAATGAGACCTGACTGTGACTTAGCCAAAAGAAAAAAAAAAAGAAAAGAAAATTGATAATAAAAGATACTTATCGGTAATACAGAATATCCATTGCGTCGAAAGACGTTCCCAGGTCCCTTGGCTTTGACCTAAGTCGAAAAGTCGATAGGAGACACAAGGTCAACCAAGATGGTCACCCACCCCTTTCTAAACAACCCCTTGGTAACGGCAGTAGACGATGGGGTTGTAATTTCAAAAGGCATTGTAATTTGACATCTTGTTAATGATCTTGACTTTATTCCCAAACAGACGAAACCGGTAGCGTTTGCCGTCAGGACGAACGTCAGCTATGACGGTTCCGTCGATGACGACTCGCCAGTCCACGGCTCGGCCGTCAGTTTTGACGTCCGCGATTTTCTCCATATTAAGGTGAGCTGGCTATGTTTTTTTTTATGAACACTCTATTCGATCACCCAAGATCGATATCGATTGGTGTTACCCAATCATGATGGAAATTGATCGTTTTGAATTTTACAGGAGAAGTACGACAACAACTGGTGGATTGGAAGGCTCGTGAAGGAGGGTTGCGATGTAGGGTTCATCCCCTCGCCGGTTAAACTAGAGGCACTCAGAGTACAGGCTAGTGCTGCTCGTGGTACCAGGGGATTTTATTCATCACGCGGAGGATCCTCTGGTAACCTTGGTGAGAGTGGTATGCCATCTCGTGGTTCGACACCTCCGACACCAGGTACTATTTTGTTTGGTTCGAATCGATCGTGCTAATTGTTATTGAAAGAATTTTTTATATAAACTTTTATTTCTTTTTTTCTCTTTTTGACAGGTGACGACAGCAATAGCGTTGGAAACGTACGTCCTGGAAAAGCCACCCTTACCACCCCTCCGGCTAAGGAGAAGAGGAAGAACTTCTTCAAAAAGCCGGTAAACGTAGCGCCGCTAATGTTTAATTTTTCTCTCCCTCTCTATCTATATCTTGTTCCTTACTACACTATACTGTCTTACTTGTATTTATACGGTATTCAGTATATCAGTCTCTTGCTTGACTCTTGTAGACAGTCGATTTCAATTAGATTAGATTCTAGAGTGTACTAGAAATTAATTACACTGTGTTGGATAAATGGCACTGGTGATAATTAAAAAATCTTGGGGACGTGCACCGCTTGGCGCTTTGTGCACACGTTTTTTTTTTAATCAGACATCCGTCTTATCATTGCTAAGCGTTTGATCTAGCTGAATAGAGAGTTTTAGGAAGATTGTCGTCTTTTTGTCGGTTTAACGTAAAATTAAAAAAAAAAAGTCCTTTATTTCGTTCGACTACTCCTATACAGCCCTATAGTAGACTCAGAAAAAAAAGGTCACCTGTGTTAGACTTTTCTTGTCAGCAGATTCATAGAATTAGGATAACGTTAGTTTGTGCCACGCGATTAATAATTTTTTTGTGCCAAATAAAATTTTGTATAATTATTTTTTGTTGCGATATCGTGGATAGAAATTTCGCGTTGTATCGTCGTAGACTATTATAGGTGGCATGTTTTTTTGAGTTGACGTGGCCATTAACTGTTTTAAATGTTTCAATGTTGCATTCCGTGCTCATGAAGTCCTACGTAAGTGAGACTGTCTCTTGAAAAAGTGAGATTGAAAGCGGAAATCGTTCACGACTCAATTAAGCAACAAGTTTAATAAATTTTCAGGAAACGGCTACACCGTACGACGTAGTACCGTCTATGAGGCCGGTTGTTCTGGTTGGACCATCTCTGAAAGGTTACGAGGTCACGGACATGATGCAGAAGGCACTTTTCGATTTTCTCAAGCATCGTTTTGAAGGCAGGTGCGTATAAAAGAAAAAAGAAAATCTTTTAAAAAGAAAAAATGTTACATGACTATTCCATCACAATTAACATCGTAACAGGATAATCATAACGAGGGTAATGGCGGACATCTCGCTGGCAAAAAGATCCTTGCTGAACAATCCAACCAAGCGCGCTCTCATGGAACAATCCGCAAGTAAAAGTAGTTGTCTCGCCGAGGTCCAAGCTGAAATCGAGAGGATCTTCGAGCTCGCCAGGACTCTTCAGGTACGTCATAAATTGATCTGGAGTATCCTTGTAAGGATCATAACTTAATACAATCAAGAATGTGCCATCTGGAATTTCAGCTGGTCGTCCTAGATTGCGATACGATCAATCATCCCTCCCAGCTGGCAAAGACCAGTCTGGCGCCCACTATAGTCTACCTGAAGATCTCCTCGCCAAAGGTACTCCAGAGGCTGATAAAGTCGCGTGGAAAATCGCAGGCGCGACACCTCAACGTGCAAATGGTGGCTGCTGAAAAGTTGGCCCAATGCCCACCGGAAATGTTCGACGTGATACTCGATGAAAATCAGCTTGACGAAGCTTGCGAACACGTGGCTGAATATCTCGAAGCTTATTGGCGGGCAACTCATCCTCCTGTTGTCGCGCAGGTACCACGTGCCGTTGCTGCACCCGATGCACCCATTGACGCATTGGCACCCAGAGTCACACCAGGTATCATATTAGAATTATAAACTACAATCAGATGGAATGAAGTATTTACTTGATACACACAAAAAAGATGATCGAGTTCGATTCTCGATTACACGAATGAAACTTTTTGCTGGACTTTTATTGCCACACGGCGTATAATTAAGTAATCTTAAGCGAAGGGGTAGATTGTTATTTTCATGCTAAGATATAATTAATTCGTAAGAGGACGTAGGGTTGTTAATTGACTTTGTCTACCTTAGACTTAACAAACTCCTGTGTCCCATGATCTAACAAATAATTTCTTGTTCGTGTCAGGAGGTCATCATGAGAGTTACTACGGCCACGAGCCAAGAGGTAACAAATCCCTAATCCTGAGACTTAGACGTCGTTTATACTTTTTATTATACGTTTATGTGCATATACATATAGTATGTAACTGTACCGTGTTATTGTCCACGCGAGCATACAAGTATCGCATGCGTTCGCCTAAAGTTCTCATACGATCCTGGGATTATTTTAGTTTGACAAGTGGAATAGAAAAATCGTCTCTACGATGTTTCTAATCCACAATAAAAGATCCGTTCGCAGAATCCTTATACGAAAGGCTTTCGCGAACTGAGTCACAGATCATAACTCAAAAAAATGTTCCCTTAGCCTAGCACATCCTCACGTTATGTTTCTTTTCAGCTGCTATGTACGGATCAACACACTTGTATCCACCGCAGTGAGAACGGGGGCGCGCTTTTTCCGTATTTCTGTTAGTTCATAAGACTTCTGTTTGTTTATATACCTTTTGTTGTCTCTTTGCATTCTCATTATCTTTATCACACGTTACACGGGGAATGCACGATTACCCACATCCTCCCACACCCTACACAAGAAGAACACAGCACGACACGACAGCTTTACAGATAGCGGCAAAAAAAAAAATCCTAAAAACGCCATATTGTAAACAAGAAAAAAAAACAAGCACACACACAAACCCTACAAGCTCGACGAAATTTTTTATCCACAGCTTTACCATGCACGCTGCGCTGATCTCTATCAAGTAAGGATGCGTGGGCGGATATTTCGCAGATAAGCTTACAGAATCCGCCCTCGGTCCAGCCGTCATCCTTTAAATTAGCTATACTACTTACTAACTGTAACAGCGTCACCTCGAGTATCAGCAATGGCCAAATGAATGAGAAAAGGATGAAATTAGGTGTGTGAATGATCAAGGCTTTACTTTAGTATGTGCGCGAGGTAGGGGGGAGATTCAAATAGCATTCAGGGGGGTTCGGTTCCAACCGCTGGGGGTTTTGGTGAGCCTTTTATCTGACCCACCTCTTTTTCTATGTTCTTTTGTTAATGTAAAAGCCATTGAGGCGGTGGCTGCTACCGGTGTCATCAGAAAACAGGGCAGGGTCACGTTAGGTGACGACGATCCTCCCGAGAACCTGGAATCATCAAGTTAGCCAAGCCCCCCTCTTAGGCCGAACTTCACTGACGAACAAACTCGAGTTCACGGGGATTCCATCTCTTCTGCTTCTACTACTCGCTCCACTTCTGCCACTAATTCTTGCGGACCAATTCAGACGTTATTACTTACCACTCGAGTCCCGAGGGACCAATAATGAATATTAGCACAAAAAAGAAATAGGGAACACTTTTTACGTACGCGGCCCTGTAGTAAGTACCAATGGGTTTTGGTGCATGGCCCGGATTATTGAGATCGTTTTTTTTTCTTCTTCCCTAAATCCAGTCATCATAATCATTGACACAATAATTTTTTTTCTCCAATCATCGTTATCACCTGATTTCATTATTTTCACGTTCTTTTTTAACTTTGTTACGATTTTTTGTCGACCTTTCTCGCTCGAACCCCCCAACCCTTTCAGTCCCCCCCCCCCCC